AGTGCTGGTGGTCCGCGTGGTAAAGGGTTCGGAGTAGCCGGTGTTGTGAAATGATTATGATGTGTTGTTTTCCTGTGTGATGGCATTCCCCAAACTGTCTCGTCTAGTCGCGTGCATGTGCGATATGAGCATGCGCGATTTTGTAGTCGAGAGTCCTTTTGTCAGTCTTCTTGTTCGTCCCTTTGAGTGTTGTCTCCATTTCCGTCTTGTCAATATAAATAATGTAATACAAACCGGTCTTGTCCTTTGTGTCCTGCGTCCCGGGGAACGGAATGGCTGAGATTCCGTAACAACGTGGTGCCGAAACCCGGGACGCAGAGGATGAGTAAGTTTGTGATGAGTCTGTTCGTCGTCGTCGTCAACAACGAAGTAACTGTTACTTTGAAGTAAACAGAGCGTGGGAGCGGAGGAGGTGAAGAGCTGGTGGGAGCGGAAGACGACGCGGAGAGGAGGCAGAGAAGGTGATGGACTAGAACAGTCACTGTGGACTGGAGCCTGAGACGGCAGGAACCGCGACGGAGCGTGTGGCCGTGGCTCGCCAGAGGACAGTGGACGAGTCTGGCGTCACCGACTGTGTGTCGTCCTTGTTGTTCGTCTTGTTGTCTTGCTCGCTGTGTTGTTCTCTCTCTGTTCAGTTCGTTGCTGTGTTGTTTCAGTTTGGTTGTTGTCGGTCTGTTGCTCTTCTATTCGTTCTGTTGTTCTCCATTGTTTTTGTTGTAGATTTATTTGGTGCGGCTGTGCGCATGTTATTATTTTGTTGGAGCTTCGGCTCCCGTGTTTCGGTTGGCCTTGTGTGGCGTGGCCTGGTTGTAGAGCGTCGGCTCTAGGTTTTTGTTTGGCCTTGTTTCGTGGCCCGGATATTATTTTAGAGCGTCGGCTCTAGGGTGATGGTTGGTTTTCGTTTTTCTTTTCTGCTGTTGTTCCTTTTGCTGTTGTGCATGTGGAACGAGTTACGTGGTGTCGGTGTATTATTTTGTGGAATGTCATCAAGGGGGCAGGTGTTGTGAAATGATGACATTGTGTTGTTTTCCTGTGTGATGGCATTCCCCAAACTGTCTCGTCTAGTCGCGTGCATGTGTGATATGAGCATGCGCGATTTTGTAGTCGAGAGTCCTTTTGTCAGTCTTCTTGTTCGTCCCTTTGAGTGTTGTCTCCATTTCCGTCTTGTCAATATAAATAATGTAATACAAACCGGTCTTGTCCTTTGTGTCCCGGGGAACGGAATGGCTGAGATTCCGTAACACCCTTTTCCAAAGATGCTGGCCACTTTTTTCGCAATTTTCCGTTGTTTTGCAAGAAATCGCAACTTTCTTCATTTTACAAATAATCTACGTGGAGATAAAAGTTTAATAATAGCAATGAAAAGTATGAATGCCGCAGACATCACCACGCAACATTTCTTCATTTTCACGAACTACTTCGCAACTTTTCCGAAAAGGTGTGCAGAGAAACGCGCTGGATGTGCAAGCTATGGTTATTGTTCTCATATAAATTAAAAAATGACGTATAGTTGATGTTTGGTCATGGTGGAAGGAGAGGTGGAGCTACGGGAGAGATAAGCTGATTTGTCGCAGGTAGCCCTTTCCCAAAGGTGCTCGCCCTTTTTTCGCCCATTTTGGCCCTTTTTGGAAAAGCCCGTTTCTTTCGCCCTTTATTGCGTTTTTGGTGAATATCGCCCTTTTTGAGCTTTTCAGCGGAAAAGTGCTAAAATCTGTTTGCTCATGCATGCGATCATAGTTTCCGAGTGCTCGATGGGCCTTGGCACGCCGCTTTTTTGCGGGCAACAAGTAACAGTTGGTGAATCTTGTACCGGTGTACGCAATGCTGTAAAAAGTGTTTTTTTTAAACTTTACTTCCTGTTTTGCCTTTCGTGGACCCATAAATGGAAGAGTGCGTATTCATTTCTCAGCTTGGGTTCATATCTGAACATGTATCATGGCTGGCTATGCTTGCCTGTTTTCACTGAAAAAGAGCACTTTTTGCCTGTTTTCACTGAAAAAAGAGCACTTTTTGCCTGTTTTCACTGAAAAAAGAGCACTTTTCAGCATATTTTGAGGGACGCGAAATATGTAGGCCTTGACGGATTATGCTAATATTTTCGTGAAATTATGCTTTTCGCATTGCTGAAAAAATTGCAGAATTATGCTATTTTTATGCTAAAAGTTACCATATTATGCCGCATTATGCTCACATATGCTGCTAATGCATAATGGTTCTGTGCAAAATAACAAGGGAATTTTTTTGTAGAGGGCGTTGTACTGTAGTAGCAAAAGTTCAACGGGGTCAACGCATCGTCCGTCCGACCTAGCTACGACCATCACTGATTGTAGTGGACTGGACATGTTATCAAGGGAGTCGTAAACCTACAACTTCCTAGTGCATCTACTTGTACTTGTACTTGTAGAACATAACTGTATGGAATTTGATGCGAACAGGCGGATTATTACAATTTTATGCGATTCGTGTGCAATTTGCCTCGAATTATGCGATTATTCGATTTTGGTAGGAATTATGCGAAAAATTATGCTAGCATAATCCGTCAAGGCCTATCTTTCGGAGAAGGTGATGCACTGAAGCTCCAACTAAACGCCCTTTGGCACACTAGCTCATGAGTCGGACTAGGCTCCGGCGGATTATGCTCGCGAAATCATGGAATTATGCTTTCATGGACTCTCGCATTATGCTCGTAAAATCCTCATATTATGCTTTGGCAGTTTATTATTTTCCATGTTGATCTCTAACGTGCATGGACCTTGGTACTGTATGGGGATGCTCATGTATTCTGTTGTACTTATGGCCACTTCAACTTGGCCCACTTGCAACTTGCAAGCACGAAAAAGGCATAAGTTTCCGAATTTTGAGGCTCCATAAGTACAACAAAGTATCCCGGGTGCCAAATTGGCACCCGGGATACTTTGTTGTACTTATGGAGCCTCAAAATTCGGAAACTTATGCCTTTTTTCGTGCTTGCAAGTTGCCAGTGGGCCAAGTTGAAGTGGCCATAAGTACAACAGAATACATGAGCATCCCCATACAGTACCAAGGTCCATGCACGTTAGAGATCAACATGGAAAATAATTTAAAAAACACTACTTCTTCCATTCATTACTTGATTTCTTTTGTACTTCAGTAAAAATATTATTTCATTGCCAAATTAGTTGGATTTACCTTTGAAAATATTCATGTTCAACTGTCTTCGTAATCATCATACTCGTCCAACCGATGTCACCCTCACCCTGCGAATGATCAGCGCATCTCTCCCACAGCTCCACTTCTCCTTCCATCATGACCGAACATCAATTATTATTATACATCAATTTAGAGCAATATCCATAGCCTGCAGACATATCATTGCTGCCAAAATCCAGAGGTCATGACTTCGTAAAATGGATAATGTTACTGTACAAATGTAATGTACTTGTACACGGAGTTTGCGGACTACCCGCCACTATCTCGTCCGCCCCGGGATACCTGATGAACTTGAAGGCTGATTCACTCGCATCTTCTGCTACATGTACTGTGTCAGTGTGAGAAAGAACTTTGTAGAAGACGAGTTCGAGCATACAATACTGTATTGCCATGATTTCTACCCTGCTTTTCATTGAAAACACTATCTGCATGACCTCCGAACCCTTTACCATGCAGACCACCAGCACTGATCAGGTGCATTGTACACAATTGTATAGGCTACATACTAGAACTGTGGTATAATCGTGTAGTTATGCTCCTACCTCCGAGAGGATGCCAAATTATGCTCCAAATTTTCAACCACCAAATTATGCCAAAAATTGTGGGGATTGCCCTATCAAAAATTTAATAATAATAATAATTTATGCCGGCATATTCCGCCGGTGCCTAGCTCCGACAGGGAGCGAAACAGCTGTCTAGAGGCGTGGAGCAATATTATCTCTGAACGGAAGTGTCCTTGCTGGTGTCTGTATGGTTCGGCTGAAGAGCGCGTGGTTGTGATGAGTTGGGAATGCAATAAATTGAAATGCATACGAATCGCATAAAATTGGAATAATCCGCCTGTTCGCATCAGGGAGTAGTACAATACATAATATACTACTCCCTGGTTCGCATCAAATTCCATACAGTTGTACACGTTCTACAAGTACAAGTAGATGCACAAGGAAGTCGTAGGTTTACGACTCCCTTGATAACAATGTCAAGTCCACTACAATCAGTGACGGTCGTAGCTAGGTCGGACGATGCGTTGACCACGTTGAACCTTTGCTACTACAGTAACGCCCTCTACAAAAACATTCCCCTGTTATTTTGCACAGAACCATTATACATTAGCAGCATATGTGAGTATAATGCGGCATAATATGGTAACTTTTAGCATAAAAATAGCATAATTCTGCAATTTTTTCAGCAATGCGAAAAGCATAATACCACGAAAATATTAGCATAATCTGTCAAGGCCTACCGAAAGGGGCCTTTTCTGAGATTTGGCCGATGGACTATCAGAATCAGTCATGTTTTGTTTTTTGTTTTTTACAAGGTCTAAAGAACTTTTTTTACATGTAACTCTCCAAAAACAACAAAATTTAATAACTCCAAAGCACGAAAAAGGCCAAAAACTAAACCAAGAACATTGTGCAATAACATGATTGTTATGTAGAAAGACAGGACGAGTGAATAATTAGTCAGTCCATTGAATCAGTCATGTACTCGTATCTGACAAAGCCAGATCTGAAGCCGTTCGTTGAAATGACGCCATGGCCCATGATGTACAGTGCTGGCAACTGAAATCCGACCCCTTGGCGGCGCGGCGCGCGCGCCGAGGTGGTCGGATTTCAGTTGCCAGCACTGCACATGTACTGTCTGTGCAGTACAGACTGTCAGTGTCACTCATGACAGGAGGTACTGTCTGTACTGTAGCCATGGTAGCTATCGTTAGCTAGCTAGCCGCATATATGGCTTGCAAGCTTGAGAAGTTGAGTTGAGCTGCTTTTGTTAGGTCCCGCACTCCGCCACTCGTCTAAAAATGCTCCAAGATTGCGGGACTCGAGCTGAGCTGAGCTCGAGGCCAGAACCTTCACTGGGGAGAAAAAGCACATCTAACAAACTAAGTTTACTTGGAGGGCCCGGGCGGACTTGTAATTTCTCTGCATAAATTTGAGGGCTGCAGCGGATCGGTTTGGGGGTGTCATTTTTGGTTTCTCTCGTTCTCTCAACCACAATCGTCAACGGTAGAGGCAGTGATAAAGTACTTTGTAGTACAGTACGTCGTGATCTCGTTTGAGCCCGCCAGCCAGCCAGACGTGCTAAACGGATATCCATTGAGTGTGTGTCGTCCAATCCCCTCAACTCCATAATAATTAGTATTAGTGGATCGAGCAACAGCGTTTGATCATGGCGGCTCTGAGGACGAGGCTACTAATGCTGCTTGTGGAGGTGTTAGTGATCGGGAGTGATCATTTGCTAGCAGTGAATGGTCAAGGAGATGGTTGGATAAATCTGCTAACGTTCAATGCCGGCCTCTCCGGTACAGCGAACATAACCGCGTTTGCAGAGCAAAGAAAGCCTAAGCTCCTTGAGTCGATCGCCGCTCCGAACGGACCGTGGTCAAACGCTGATATCGTGTGCCTTCAGGAAGTCTTCAATCCCCAGGACCGCCTGGACGTGGTGAAGAAAGCTCGAGATGCAGGATTTACCTACAACTATTCCACAGGTCTCCTGGAGACAGAGAGCGAGCTGGCAGGAATGGCGTGCTCTGCACAACGCGACAGATCACATTTGGCAGTCCTGTCTAGGTGCCTGAAGAAGAACTGTCCCGACGCATTGGACGTCACCGCTGCCATACCTTGCCTGTTTGGCGAATGCTCAGAACCCGTAACTGGTCTGAGGCAAACCTGTATCGAGTGCCTAGGTGATGTGCGAGGCTCTGGGATTGACGACACTGCTACGGCCTGTACATTGTCGTCACCTGCCATGGACTACGCCAGCAACCTTGGTCTCATGCTGCTCAGCAAGAAGCCATTAGAGCACAGCAGCCTGACTGCGTTCTCCGACGCACCCACCCCTTTCCGACGTGGCTACATCAGATCGGATGTAAGTGAGCAAGCTGACTGGTTTGCAACTAAGGCACGAATGTCTACCGTTTAGTACTGATCAATGAAATCCTATCGTGTGCGCCAAGTTTTTGCTCAATTTCCCTCAAAAAAGAGCTGAGCAACGAAAATTGCTTTCGTTGCAAGCACAGTACTGCCAGGCAGTAATGTACGAAACCTGCGTAATGGCGTCACTGATTTAGCATGTACATGCCTGACTGTCAAGATCTATATCCCGCACTCCGAAAAACGTGACATCACTTTTCGTGCAAGCTCCGAAATAGCCGATTTCCGTGGCGTTTTTCCGTGGTTGCCTGCTCCATTGAACATCACGAAACATCGTTATGCGCAATCTCTCGATTGACTCGCTTGATCGGATTTCATTGACATTGAACAACCAGGGTTAGAGCAAGAACAGAAACGAAGGGGTGGGGAGATCATCGGACCCACTTTCCGTGTGATTATTACCGCCATGTTGTGCCGCCGATTTGGCTGGTAGTTGCACCGACACCAGTAAGCAGTCGACCAGCTTGCATTCCATGTATTCATTTACTGGCAACTGGAACCTGCCATGAGTATGGTTTTCAGAGGTAATTGATGGTGTAACGTATTGTAAATGATGATTTAAGGAGTGGTACTACATGATGTGTACACATAAAAGCAGGGGCAATGTCGGAAGGTATTTTAGTGTGGTACGGTCAGTCATCTGAAGTACAATTTACTCGTGGGGGGAAGGGATGGCGGAGCCGAAAATTTTGGAAAATTTAGAGTCCAGATCAGTGTATTTTATTGATTCACGGGGTACCTGGGCCAAAAAGTGGTACGGTCAATACCGTAGTGACCGTACCGTGTCCGACGCCCCTGAAAAGTCATAACTTTTCACGTCGAATACAATGGTGATTAACTAGGCTGCAAGTAAGTCCTTATAGCCGGCACTTTGGCGGTCAGAGCAGTTACAAAATAGTACCTAAGATAGCACTAGTGGTGCAAACTACATAGTGAGACAACCAATGAAGAGCGTACTACTACTAGTACTGTAGTATTATCAAACAACAGTGGGGACCACAATGTCAAAACAGTGACACCTTTCACACATACTCCATTCCACACACTGTTCGCACAGTATGTTGTCACTGCTCTGCCCGCCAAAGTGACGGTTATGAAGACTTGCTTGCTGGCGCGTGAATCACCATAGAAGTCATAATGCATAGTTATGCATGTACTAGAAGGGCGGCGCTCACACTCTGGATGGGGGCGGGCAAAAACGTGGAGGCGGGCGCAGCGCCCCGCTATGTCCCTTTGGCGAGAACCCTGTCAGCACTATCTGTAGTGTGCTGCTGCACGTGATCTCATTGCAGTTACAGTAGGGTTTCTGGATCGTCTGCTCTATGTGGCTATGGAAAAAGACTGTATTTATACGAGCTAGGTATGCATATTAAGGGGACAACTTTGCAAAAAAAAAAAACCCGAATTCTCATCCTACCATGAGAGCCTTGTGGTGAAGTGGAGTGGTATGTCCAGTGCTTTCGAAGCAAATGGTCACGGTTTCGAATCTCAGAAAAAAATCACGGTTCGCGTGAGACTGAGTTAGACTGAGTTTGTCTTGCGATCAAAGGTATTCACATTTGGGAGTGAGGCGAATTCATCTAATATTCTAGAATTATTCGTTTTGGATAACGATTCGAAGTACAGAAACGAAATTTTTGCGTACTGCAGACAGTGACTACATGTGTGTGTGCATGTGAAACTTTATTAATGCGATTAATAGTGCATGTGAAACTGGTGTGCAACATGAATGTAACCCGCGTGCAAGTCACACCTTGAAAACAGTACAGTAGAGTGCGGTGGTTGGTATGCTGTGGTTGGTGATATTCGATATTCGATTCGTCTAGAAACTATTCGATTCGCTCGGATTAAGAGAATATTCGTTTCACCCCTATGAATCACAATTATAGGTCTATGTGCTTTGAAGTAAAAAGGTAGCTTACCGTATTATCTCTAATATAAGCACGGTCCTTTATTTTTTCAATGTACCCCGCCCGATGCTATTAATGGAGACGTTCCTTTATTGGAGACTGTTCCATTCCATCATTCGAGCGACTGACCATGATAACATGTACATGTACATGCAATGTGCTTACATATACTACCGTACGGTGTCCTTTATTGGGGGTCCGGAGGCCCGGGTGGTTTTCAGATCACTTCACAGTGTGCTTATAATGGAGACTGAGCACTTTATTTTTTGAATGCCGCCCCAAGGTGTTCTATTATTGGAGACGTGCTATTATTGGAGACTGTGCTTATAATTAGAGATAATACGTACGGTATGCGCATTTGATCAGGGAAATTAAAGAAATTCGCCATGAAAGCGGATCATCATTGGATTTGTTGTGGACGCCCATGGCTCATGGCGAAAAGTCCCTTTCTATACAATGCCGCGGGATTGTGCATGTATGCCATCAGTCTCTAACGCATGTGCTGATGTTTTTTTAAATATTTTTCTCCTTCTGCATGCAGGTCGAAGGAGTGGGCACCGTGTTTTGCGCTCACAACTTTCCAAACTTCGAGACTTTGCCACACCGTAAGGCACTGTTCTATTTAAGATATATAAGTATTTAAAATACTTGAAGTAAGGCAATGTCTTCTGATACGTCAGAGCACGGACTGCCAATATTTGAGTTGAGGTGAAGAGTGACGTACATAGTGCCCACAGTACTATGCACTCAACTCTCTTCAATTCGTCTTCCTCGAGACCAAAGTGCATCTGTGTAACTCGGTAAAATATGATTTATCGGTATATGCTTGAAATCACAAGTTACAAGTGCCCGAGTAATGGCTGTTGTATGGCATGGGCAAGTGCCGCAGGGAGAGCTGCTCCCTGTCCAGTCATGGTCGGCACTAGGAATATGTAAAGGAGGCGAAGACAGCAACTGTAAACGACCCCAGTTGAACGTGTCTGATAATGGATTGCTTCACGATTTGAAGGGCGGGAGCACGAAATGGGACCTCTATAACGAGAACACAGTACAGGACTTTATCAGATGCGTCACATTTTACATCTACTGTAAATCAATCGTATTTCGTAAGTGATTAATATCGTAAATCGAGAAAAAAAACACTTCGTGGTCATCTAAGTTCCGTAACTGCCATCAGCTCCGGGAATGCTACGTACACTGTACAGTTAATCCATACTTCACTACACTCTGAAAAAGGTCTCTGGGCTACACCGAAAATAGAAGAAAAGACATGGGAACGAGTTATGAAGCAACTATCCACGACTATAACATGATAATAAGCAGTCAGAACGTGCAATAACAGGGCAAAAAACTGACAGGCTACTGAGGCATTCAACGACCTAAGTCCTAGCTCTAACACATCTTCAGTGTGCAAACCAATAACCTTCCAACTTGGAAGGTTCAAGGTTGGGCTATGCTTTGCTGCTTCGAATTATATTTAGACCGCCGCGGCATTGCCATGTTTTGATTAACTGGTCTCGTCATCGTCCTGTAACAAGCGGCATTCTTTGTTGCCAGCGTGGGACTTAGCTTGTTCACATTTCCGCTGCGCTCGCGTTCCCCTCTTTGGTCCTACCCAACCTTGAACCTTCCAAGTTGGGAGGCTGTTGGATTGCACACTGGAGATGTGTTCGAGCTAGGTCTTAGGTCGTTGAATGTCTCAGTAGCCTGTCAGTTTTGTGCCCTGTTATCGCACGTTCTGACTGCTTATTAAGTATCTTGTTACAGTCGTGGATAGTTGCTTCATACTCGTTCCCATGTGTTTTCTTCTTCTTTTTACATTTAAAATACTGCCTCGTTATCCGAGTTCGATTTAGTATCTCTTTTCTTTTAGTGATTGGTGTAGCCCAGAGACCGTTTGGAGAATGTTGTAAAGATGTATGGATATAGTTGATGGCTACAGTGGAGTGTTCGCATTTTGAGAAAAGTGTACAGTGGATGTGACAAATTTTAGTAAGCGTTCTAAATTTCGCAAGTGGCAAGACATTTACGAAATTAAAGCGACTACGAAATATAATTGATTTACAGCACCCGGTAACTATAAGAACAAGGTCAGTCTTATCGCCAAAGGGACGACCAATCAGCAATGTTCCCACCCAGGGCCGTATGAGAGCTTAAGATTTTAAAAACAGCCCACTCAATCCTAGTTTTACTTTTACTAATCTTTTGATGATGGTTCGTTAACTCTCCAATCTGTCCTACAGTATACTCAGGGTTTGATAACTATAACTCTCCAATCTGTCCCACAGTGTACCCGGCGTTTGCGGCGCGCAACCTGAAGCAGCTGCAGACGCTGATCGATGTAGCCAGCGGCCACAACTCCATCGTGATGGGCGATATGAACAGTGGACCGGAGGTGGCAGACAGCGACGTGCAGGCCACCTTTGTCCAGTCGTACAACTACGCCACGTCCAGGGGCTTCGTGAGCCCGTACGTCGACCAGGCCAATGCAGCACCCGATTGCACCTTCTGCGAAACCAACCCAATCAACGAAGCGATTTTCATGGGCTTGCCAATTAACAAGACGATCCTGGACCACATCTTTATCAACCCACAGGTGTTTGAAGTTAATGCCGATCAAACAAAGGTGAGCTTCCATGATATGGCTGCCAGTCCTGGGTATTTTGGTCTTTTATCAGCTGGGCTAATATCCTGGCTACTGCACTGTGATGAGTGCGAAACACTTAGCTGTGTCCATGGCTAGCTAAGATGGTTGATGGTGTGATGCAACCAAAACTGTAATAGCGGTGTGTGTATGTGTGTGTGTGTCTGTCTGTCTGTGTGTATGTGTGTGTGTGTGTCTGTCTGTGTGTGTGTGTATGTCTGTGTCTGTGTCTGTGCACGGAATGCGCTGCCTTGTTTTCCTCCCCCCCCCCCCTGCAGAGGGTGTTCACCGAGAACGTGATCACCATCGACGGCGACACCTCCATCCCGCTGTCGGATCACTACGGTGTCCAGGTGAGCATCAGAGCGGCGGCGCCTGCGATGCTCGCCGCGACCTCGTTGCTGCCGTGGCTGGCGATGGCCGCTGGATTGACCCTGCCACAGATCTAAGTCAAAGTAGTAGTAGACGTTGATACACTGTCACAGCCAGTGTCAGCACCCGGCTTCTCACACATGATGAGAGTCCAGTCAGCATTAATTTGGCATAATCCACGAGTCAGCATCCTTGTTTGGGTATTCTAAATCAACAAGATTTCCCGTGGATTTTCATTTTCCTATCACCGCGGACTGTGATGGGTTATTTATGGATCGTTAAAAAAGTTTAAAAAATTATTTGCTGGTTTGCACTATCATAATTATGCATGCATTCTTCGTTTAGGCCGATCCTGCCCCCCCCCCCCCCCCGACTCACCCATGCCATTAGCATTTGCATGAGTGTATCATTTGAACTGCTCCTTCGGGGACTGGGTATGTTCCCACTAGTGCTAGCGTGTGGATCCTTTACAGTGACAAGTGCCATGGCAGACACACCGCAGCACTCCTCTCCCGCGTTTACCTTCAGAAGCTAAGTGCACTCAATAATCGTGACGGCTATGTTTTATAGAAGATTCAAACTTGAAAGCAACTAACTTCTCAGCTTGCATTGCATTGGACATACTCCGAGCACATCGTAAATTAATTATTGTGTCTTTGCTAAATGCATTCACGCCCCATTTATAGTCTTGCCATGTTGACAGTTCTAGCAACAGCTTGTTTTCTGTAGTGACACGTTTTTCGTTCTGAGCTAAATTAAAATGCATCAACCAGGCCTTTGGCCACGTGGTTGTGGGCACGTGGATCACGACGTCCCAAGCTCATGGCCCGTGTTAGTAATGAGACGTGTGTGCTATGTTAACAAAGCGGCCATGCATGCGTGAACCACCGCTGTACATGCAATGAAATGCGCCGACATCTACGCCACGGTCAACTGGGTACTCACTACTCGTGTTGCACTGGCCACCCCGGAGTGGTATTGTCAGGCCTGCTGGTGGTCAACACGCAAATGTATAGCCAGGGTAATGTAGATGTAAAAACATTGCTTTACTTTGAAGCTAATGTACTACTGGCATGGCATCATGCTTCTTGACATGTGCGTGTGTGCGTGTGTGACCTGAGTAGAAAATCTCAAGTGTTCCTCACTCTAATTAATATAAATTTTAATTAGATTTATTGGCTCAGTATTCGAGCCTCTTGGTGTCACACATGCACACACACGCATGTACGCACGCACACAGACAGACAGACACACACACACACACACACACACACACACAAATATTCTCTCTCTTTCTCTCTCTCTCACTCTCAATTTTTTCATGAACATCGGCCGTCTCCCTGGCTCAGTAACAGTTCATGGCCAACTGCCATTCTAGTAGAAATCACGGAGACCTAATCCAACGAAAGAGTACTTTTCAGAACATTTGTCACACGACTGAACTAAATACAATTTAAAATTATTTGAAGGTAGATGTACATTGCAAAATCTCCACCATGCAGACGTTCCACTGTCTAAATTCTATGTACGGAACAGCAAGAGTGCAAGCTCAGTTTCCCACTTGCGCCTACTGATACGGAATGGCGAATATGCACTGCTGTGCGCTCCGGGAGAAAGAGAGTAGAGATAGTTTAACTAAGGCAACGCCAATCGTAGCCAGCGAACCCTGCAGCTGACATGCAGCACCAAAGGCTATACCTATAGCTTAAAAAGGATCCAAGAACCCTCACAGGACTGAGCAGTGGCATCCTTGACAAATGTCCTAGAGGGATGGTGGCACAAGCACGGCGTGACCATGCGCATCATCTTAATTTACAACAGAATAGCATGTTAGCACTCTAAAGGACAGTTTGCATGGTAGTTAATGTGACCAAATACACCTTACGGTATACAAGCTATTCGAGTGCCACGTGCCACCCTAATTTACCACAGAATAGCATGTTAGCACTCTATAGGAAACGGTTTGCATCGCAGTTAATGTGATCAAAATTACACTATACAAGCTATTCGAGTGGCACGTGCCATCGTAATTTACCACAGAATAGCATTTTTAGCACTGTATAGGACAGATTGCATTGTAGTTAATGTGACCAAATACACCTTACAGTATACAAGCTATTGGAGTGCTACGTGCCCGGCTAGAGCGAAACGGACACTATCAGGGCTGAAATCAGTAGAGCGAGAAGCGCGCCTGACTTCGCTGCATCCGACGTTGCCGGCGGATTGATGGCGCGGACACTGACCTGTACGCCGTAGTGATCGGATGTCGGCAGGAGAGCTGCACCGATGACCGGTAAGGGGACCGGGATCACGGCCTCGTCGAATACTCTCTGCAAATTAGCACGGCAAATAGGAAAATTCATGCACGTGCATTCGCATGCAAACAAACACACAACACAATGCACATACTCACCCGTGCGAGCGCGCGCACACACACACATACACACACGCACATGCGCACGCACACGCATGAATCTGTGTCTAAAGGGTTCACGTGTGAAGCTATGCTGTGTGATCATGAGGGATATGTGAAACTTGGAGTCACAGCTGGCAGTTTCAATCCACCACGTATTTTTTATCTTATTCTTGCGGCTCGCTTCTTAACTCTGTTTTTGTCACCTTTGCAGGATTATCGCACCTTGTCAAGCCTCCCTTGAAACTGTTTAATCAATGTCTGTAAGGAGCAAATATCACCCGACATGGCCAAATTTCCGATTTCGCACGAAGTTGGCTCTTTTATTCCTGGGTGGACCTTGTTCGCCCACTATGACAGTTTGGTCCAGAGATCATCCCTCCGCTCCTTGGATATTGGGCAAAATAAAAAAATTACTAAAATACGCACTGAAACAAGGTACAAGAACGAGGGGTCACTGCAGCTCACAACAACGCAGCGCAGCCAAACCAACTATGTTCGCACACTGATTCAAGTTATCTAGCAATGTTTAGCCATCCAACTTTCGACTGTTGACTTGCTGAGTCCCTCGGACGAATCGATCAATTCAGCCTGTCCAATGGCGGCCATTACGAAGGCCATCTTCAAGGGCCAGTAGCAGCGGGGTTACGTCCTGAAATTGGGGGTAGACCACCACCACAGTCTTGTAAAACATGTCCCCAAGCGTAAACAAGTGCTAGTCCTGAATATGTTATCCACTAAAAATCACTTCGGGAAATATTCTTATTTCAAACTCTCCAACGGCCATGCACTAGCCGAATCCCACCTGTGGCCGGAAAGCACACACAGAGCGTCTCCATATACCTTTTTCGCTACGCTACCTGCAGTGAGATATCATGGGCATAATCCCTTCCCTCGCAGAAACTCGAATGAAGCCGCTACGAAGTGACACTTGCTGAACAACAGCCCGCCATGACGAGAAAGAAGAACTGCTCCACAACAACAAAGCAAGGACTGCAACAGTAGTGCAATTCAAGGGACTCGGCAAGTCGCCAATCAACATTTGGATGGCTAAACATCACTAGGTAACTTGAATCGGTGTGCGAACATACAAGTAGTGGGTTTGGCTCAGCTGCATTGTTGTGAGCAGCAGTGAACCCTCATTCTTGTACCTTGTTTGAAGGTGTTTCAGTTCGTATTTTTATTGATTTTTTGAGTTTAGTCAATATCTAGAGAACTGAGGGTTTCTGGACCAAACTGTCATAGTGGGTGAATGAGGTCCACCTGGGGATAAAAGGAGCCGGCTTTGATGGAAACCGGAAATTTGGCCATGTCGGGTGATATTTGGCCGTTACAGACATTGACACTAAGGACAAGAAACGGAGTTATACATCGGAAGGCCGCCCGTAATCTGTTCAACTTCTGTTATCCACGTAACCATGGTAACCCCTCCCCCGTTATATCAAGAGTACATAACCCCCAAGAGTGTGCAACTGTCTGCACAACCTCTATACAGTGCTGCGACGACGGCAGAACTTCACATCACGTGACATGGTTCAAACGGTTACGCTGGCAAACCGTGCAAAGTGACCACAGGAGAGTTGTACCCAAAGCTGGGTTGCGTACAACCCTGTATCTTTAGCCTAGTTCACATTCGACGGGGCGCAACGGGACGCGACGTAAGGATCGACGGGAAGCGACAGGACGGTCTGACGGCGTCCAATGTGAACACCAGGGACGAGAACGCAACCATACTACCGTACAGATCGGGAAGCGACGGGAAGAGTTGAATTGATTCAACTTGTCATACCGTAGACGGGGGCGCAAGCGTACAAAACGGCTGCAATTAGAATGTGAACAGAAGACGGCGTCGTGCGCCGACTCCCGATTCGTACTTAATTTTTTTAGCATTTCGAACACTGCGCATCCCATGGTAACTCACAAAACGGTTAGCATGACTGGAGTTGAATTTTAGCAAGATAAGATCTCATGTCCCTAATTGTATTTAGGCATTGTTCAGGAGTGTGACGGACAAACTGTCCTATCATGGGGCTATTATTGGAATGCCAAAACTTTCACGGCTAAGTTTTTGGTCTTCATGAAAAACTGTTATTGTGAACGTGATTCCGCTTCATTCAAGGAGAACTACCTGAAAAGAAGTCCCGAAGAACGAGAAATTAGGTCCGAAAGTCACCACCTTATGGACTGTGCCTTATGACTCGTGCCGTTCGACGTTGAACATCGCAACGACTGCTGCATGTCGTGTCGTACGAATCGTACAGGATTTTTACAGCTTGCCCCAGCCGTCCACACAGGCCCTTACCGTCAGCATTGCGTCGAATGTGAACTAGGCTTATCACGCACAGAGTGCAACTAATGTGTACGGGTTCATCACGTGATGTGAAGTTCTGCCATCGCAGACCCCATAGCTGGAGTTGCGCACACTTGAGGGTTATTTACTCTTGGTTATACTTACGATTGTTTTGTTATCATCCACCTCGAAGTCGTCAAGGTCGACAAAGACATGGTCGATGATGAGACTTTCGGCCGGCTGACTCAGTAACTGTGCGGTTATGGCCACCACCGCATTGGTAGCGCACCACGTGCACGTTGCCATGGAGTCGTTCGAATAGATGCCGTAGAAACCCTGAGCGAGAATGTGATCGTAGGAGGCCTCAAGCTCGGGCATCACGCCGGTGTCCGTGTTCTCCGGCCCAGTGTTCATATCGCCCGCCAGGATAGGGTTGGAGCTGGCCCGCGCCGCCGCTGTCAGATCTTGCATCTGCCGGAGATTTTCGGAAGCGAACAACGCCGCGGCTGGACGCAGAGAACACAGATGAGTTGCATGAAACACATACACACACATACACACACACACACACACACACACACACACACACACACACACACACAAATACACACACACACACACAATTCGGAGGAGGCGGTGACAGTGCACAAAGCGGGTGCATAATTCAACGGCTGGGAGCTGACTTGCCCTTTCCTTCAGCGTCGGAGCACGCCATAAAAATACAATCTTCTCGCTTCTCATTGGGAGGGAGAGAAAGAGAGAGAGGGAGAGAGAGAGAGAGAGTGGGTGAGTGAGTAAGAGAGGGGGGGGGGGGGGGGGGGAGAGATAGGGACAAACCATCCATACGATTGGGTCAAAGCTGCACTTTTTGCACATGAATACGTCCAAAATTGACTTTCGGGATTCCGCCACGGAACAATTGTTTTCATCCAAACAAAAACATCTAGCTTATCAGTCTAACGTCCAGCTCTCCATCCGAGTCTAAAAAACATACTTTTAAAATGTGACATTTAGCCTCTGACACAAACCATGAAATACGTGTAAGGCCGAGTAAAAAAAATTACTAGATGATCGTCCTTTTTTTTGGAAAAATCGGGGAGGGCGGGAGGATTTTATTTTTATTTTTTTACTTTTTACCCTCTCATGCACACAGTGTACACAACAACATCAAGGTTTTTTTTCTCTTTTTTTCTTTTTTTTTCTTTTTTTCTTTTTCTTTCTTCAGCAGATCGATACTGACGTTGTGATATACTAGTAGTATGTGGTCCATATAGTAAAGAAAGTATTAAACAAAGCGTGCACATGTTTCCTGCATCCGCGATCGGTAAAAAACCAACGATTTCGGCAAAAACTCACGATTTAAAAAATAAAATATTTCTTGGGGCGCTGACAAAAACTGGGGCGGACGGGGACGATCATCTAGCTTTTTTTTTTACTTGGCCTAATACATGTACGATTATTGCGCTCCCTAGCCTTGATTTGGTTGAGTACTCTTGCTGGTTAGCGTCAGACTTACAGTCAACTTGGCGTATAACGACACTCGGCGGGGTATCAGATAAGTGTCCTTATTCGCGAAGTATCCTTATACCCGAAGCCTCATTATAATTATGTATTTCACTTCGATGGGACTTAGGAAATTCTGTCTTTATTCGCGAATTGTCGTTATATCTGTCGCATCCCTGCGCTCAGTGACCGGACCCAGAAATCACTACGAGCAGCGACCGAATAGACGTGTGGCCTCACGACGAGCCCAGCACAACCCAGGGGCCAACCAGTATAGTTGGCTTGGTCCAAGTTCAACCCCGTCCGATCAACAGACAAGGATTGTTGGCTTCATGTTGTGAGTAGTATTCAAATCCGAGCTCAAAGTAAAACCAAGACTAAGAGCTGAGACCGAGTCCCGCCTGCAGTAAAAGAGAGAATGAGAGCTTCCTGTATAGGGCACTTCAGAGATATGGCGTGATCATTGCTAACAATGGTACGAGGTAATTACAGGAAATAGTAAAACAGGTAAAACTGGAATATGCGCACCCAGTCAGCAGAATTCACGTACGGTAATCATTCGAGAAGATACAGGAAGCTTTAAAGACATGGAGAGAAGGAAGACCAAATTGAGACGTGGGGAGCCCACTCACCCACGTCAGAGTACAATGTGCGTATATTAGGGTCACGTTGGAGAGCCCGCTCACCCAACGTGCCGTTGCTCAGCGGCTTCTTATTGGTAAGTTCTGCGGTCTTCGCTCTGCTTGCGTGATACCCTTGACCTGGCGTGGTGACGATTTTGGCTCTTGTGCCGTCTTGGCTCTGCACTCTTTGCACTTAGCTCTGTTAGTCTTGGCTCTTTGAGAACCTACCTGACCAGGTTCCGGCCTTGGGTCATGCCAAGAAGGCATGTCACGTACGTGGGAAAGCGCGTGTTGCTCAACCTACATGCTAAGCACGTGGGACAAGACACTGGCCAAACCACGTATCAAACGGGCGTGACAGATCAGCACAGAGCTGCTCACTATGTAGATCCTGCTGACACAGGACTATCAGGCAGCAGTCCAGGGACGTGACATATCCGCAGTCGTTATTAGCGAAGTTGACTGTATTCGTCTTTGTGCAGATCTCACTGTGTTTCTCGCAGATGGACAACTCTGACTTTGATGCTTCGAGCTGGCTATAGAATGCTATAATTATTACTGTTCACTGGACTGCATTGTGATCGTTTCTTATGGTCATTCTGAGCTCCGCCGATGAGAGCTAGCAAGGTTGAAACAGCTGGCTGTGTCGGAGATTTTGAACACATTTAAAAATGGAACAGCCTTTGCTGGATGACTACACCGGCATAGCTTATGCAAGAGGAGTATTGCCCTAGAGCAAAGGCCCCTAGAGCAAAGGCCCCTGGATCAAGGCCTGGTGGTGACAGTATGTATATTCTTCCGATTGTTCACTTTTCAATCCTCAAACTCGTGGCTAAATGGACCAGGTACAACGTTTTTCTAAGAACTCGCAGACTCCATTGCAGTCACTCATACATTAGAGGGTACCTCAACTCGAACTTTCCAAATACGGTCTCTTCGCTGCACACGTCACTTCAAAATAAATAAATAATAGAATTTAACGTGAAAACATTCAACTAATGCCAGTGGGTGCAATGTTGGTCTTACACTGTGGTATGCCTGGCATGTCGGGAAAGGCATGCGTGCAGAAGAACGTCCCTACGCCTTGAAGCTACAATTGGGAAGAGTCAAGAGTACACACACACACACACACACACACACACACACACACACACACACACACACACACACACACACACACACACACACACACACACAGAGAGTGACAAACAGCGCGCACACACACGCACGCACGCACGCACACACACACACACAGAAAACGATCAGCTATGACGATTCGTACGCAGGCACATAATGTCACTGCAGGTTGCCTGAGTACCCGTCTCCGAGGACTAGAAAAATCCCGGTGATGAGCACAGCAATCCCCCCCCCCCTTCAAACACAAACACACACACACGAACACACACACACACACACACACACACACACACACACACACACATATATATATATATATACACACACACACACAAACACACACATGGCCTTTATCGCTTGTGAGGGTGCTTCAGCTTTCAGCTCAATGCCGAAAGGCAGAGCTAGTTCCAACAAGAATAAGAGGATAAAAAAACCGGAGTATAAACAATAGTTTCAACCTCCTATTCTTGTTAACTCCTGGACTCTGACTGGTTTGGACTATCCATTCGACCTAAGCTCGTCTGCTCAATAAGCTCGAGCCTGCAAACCGTAGCCACCTACGTGTCTGCAGCATTTGAGTGTTTGACACCACCGTACACAGTTAAAATATCCTCAATCCAGTGAGGCTCTCATCAGCATTCTCTCCCCTCTGACGCAGGCGCATGTCAAGCACTAGTGTATGGCTTTTCACCAACGAGCACTGGTATGCCGCTCCATACAAAACATAGTATCCAGAACCACTTGTGGAACAACCTGCTGGCTGATTTAAAAGCCACACTCAAATATGTTGAACGCCTCCTCAAATCGTTTCTTTGCAGTGAATGCGATAAGTAATTTTCCCGTATGTCACGTGATTGTCGCCTTGGAGTTGACCAATGACAGATGAAACAGCGCGGGCTGGAAAGCGTGGTCCTGCCTGCTCAAAGGTGATGGAACTGAATCACTGCCCGTCGTCAAGTGACGACGGGCAGGAACGGATTCCACTGCCCGTCGTCAAGTGACGACGGGCAGGAACGGATTCAGGAAAGGAATCCACTGCGTTCATTGGCTCGAACTTGTGATGCTACGGAACCAGAATTTTAGTTTTTTGTGATGCGTGAGAACCCCGTGAGAGATCGGTACAGAGTACAGAGTACAGAGTACAGTAGAGTGATTATGGATATACGGGACCAAAAAGCATTTGGCTTGGGTGCACACGGGAAACACGTTCCAGCCACTCATACTCGGCCAGTACCGCTGTTCATCCAGCCCTTGCCGCTATCGCGGCGCGGGCTGGATTCCGCGGTACTGCCCTCATACTCGTGCAGGAACCTGTACATACTGCCCCCCCCCCCCCCCACACCCTACTTGCAATCCGACTCATTTTTTTCATTCTCATCCCAAGGTTCATTGGTTATCTCAGCATCACTGGTTTCAGCACTTTTCGGTTCCGTCTTCTCCATTTCTATGCTCTGAAGATGCCCTAATCATAACAATGATGACATGGAAGGCAGCGGCGGCACGGATGAGGCGACTGGTGAAGGTGATGTGGACCGTGATGAGGTGGAAAATGAAGCCGTGAGTCGTGGAGTGGCTGAGCTGGATGAAAATGGTGATAGCAAGAAGTTGGCTTCGTAACTTAAAAATTGCTATCCTATCTCAAGTGTTTGGAATGTTTTGACAGTTTCGTTTTACTGTGCTTCGCCGTGCACATTATGCACAGCAATCACTTTGCTCCCATTATGCACAGCAATCACTTTGCTCCCATTATGCAATGGCGTTGCCTGTGTGCTGTGATTGTAGTGCAAAAAAAAGAACTGCAAGCAACTTGAACTGAGATCGAGAGATTGATTATCTTTCTCGCGTCCGTGCTTTGGTTTTCACTGCTTGTCTGCCTGTGTGTATCTATCAGCTTTTGATATCGTTGCTACTCTAATAGCACACCCCTTTTCATTTTTCGCCTTTTTTAGAACTCAGAATGAAAATGCAGCCACAAAATAGACCGTTCCGGGTGCGCGCTGCGCCCATTCCGCGTCACGAGGCAATATTGGAAAAAGAAAAGGAAACGGTTGTGACAAGGAAAACGGTGGGGCACAAGTTATGCGATCGATTCCACCAACTAAACCAGGTTTTGAACAGTCAGACGTGCACAATCTAGCACACAACTGACAAGGAGTACTGAGACATTCCACGGCATGAAGGTCAGCTTGAGCACTGCTCGCTAGCGCTAACCAACGACTTTCCAACTTGGAAGATTCATGGATATTAGTGCTAATTACCTTGGCTCACCATCTGAGTTCCTAAAGCACACCTGAAGAGCCGCCATGAACAATACGGCGAAACGATCATCGTGTGATACTAAACAGTCATGTTATTGTAATAAGTTAGTCCGTCATTGTCATCAACTCAGTACAGTGCTGTAGGATACTGGCGTTCGGTTTGCTACAATTCGTTCTCGCGAAGCTTCCCCTTCATATTTTCATCTCAGATGATATTGAGCCTCCCAAGTTGGGTGGTTGTGGGTTTGCGTTGTCGAAATGTGGTTTGACCGTTCTGTCTGGTCTTGCCGTCCCGTGATCATACCAGACCAGCATTCCATGAAGCCTTGGAATGTAGCTTGTGCTCGGCTCGATGGCGCTTACATTCCCCTCTTTGGAATTAGGGGCCGTCCGTAAAAACATGTAATTACTTAGAGACGTCTAACATGTGTTTCTTACTTGACCCACCCACCTACCCCAGAACCCCCCCCCCCCGAAAAAATGCAGATAATACCACTCACACTAAACACCATATTATGCACACATATACAGTACAGTCGACTCCACTTATAGCGAATTTCATGATAATAGCGAACCCTTGTCCATGCACTAGTACCGGTATGTCCCTGTTTGAAACCATACAAAATTGACCCTTTTATACTTGTAGTGAACAGTATTATAATTTTTCAGCACGCAGGACACAGCGTGTGCGGTTCAGACTTGAACCTTAAACCAAGGCCAAGGATCCTGCACACCTAAAAGTCTGCTGGTACTAGTAAGGGGCCATCCGTAAATAACGATATCTATTTAGAAACGAAAACTAGTCATTTCTCTTCAACCCCCCTCCCCCTCCCTGAGAAACGAACACATACAAACGGTACATAGAATCGATTTTTTTCTTTTTTTTCTGGACGTGCCCACACATACAAACTGTGCGTCGATATTTTTTGAGAAACGAACAGGCGCTCAACCCCCTACCCCCTAAACGACTAGTCTTCGTTTCTAAATATATATCTATATATTACGGATGGCCCCTAACCGGCTGCAACTGCATGCAAGCGCATGTTTCTGGGAGTACAGCCTGAGGGTATGTGCCCCTGTCTCCCATGGCCTACTGTACTAGCTGTAACAGTACTACATGATCATGTACGTGTACACGTGTGGCACTCACACATGTATATTCTACATGTATACGCGCGGTAGTGTGTGCATGCACTCCGAAATGTATATTTTAGAAACGCCCTGCAGGCGAACCCACCCACCACAAACGCCTGTTGGACGTCTCTAAGTAAATGCATGTATTTACGGACGGCCCCTTAGCACTAATATCCAATTTTTCCTTGGCTCACCATTGGAGTTTTGGTAAGGAAACGGTTCTCTGTTTGTATCCCCTGCTCCTCCCCCCCCCCCCCCCACTATTTTTTCTGCCGAGAACCCTGCATATAGTTGCCAACGCTCACCTCAGACTGTGTGTAGCCTCTACGGAACGCGTCCGTTTTGTTCCCGTACCCGACAATACGACTGTTGGCGAGCGGTATTCTGCTTAGAACCATCAGGCCAAGATTGCTGGCAAATTGTGCAGCGGGAGCCGATGAACAGGCCACGATAGAGGGGTTTAGGGGCAGTGAAGATGCAATCAAACAGTTGACACACGGCTGAGAAAGAAAAGCAATATCCGCGGCGCACGGTCCTAAAGCGCACGGAAGGACGCCCCTGATGTCCGTCGCGCCCGGACAGTGCGACGCGAGACAAGTAGCCGCAACACCCAGCGCACCAGGACTGCAGGCAGTCGTTTGCAGCTCTGCGCTGCTCTCCAAAACGCCATCAGCGAAGATGGATGTAAATCCAGCGGCCGTGGCGAGGCGGACAACCTCGTTACGATCCTCTTCCAGCACCACTTCCTGGAGGCACACGACATCCGCACTGCTCCACGGATTGTCGCTTTCAGTGGAATTGATCGACGCAAGAATGGCCGAGCGCCTCTCATTGCTGAACAAGGTCAGATTGGAATTGCCTGGCAGAGCAGCATTGAACGTCAGGATGTTTGTCCATCTTTCCTGCCCTTCCGCGCTGTGGACACGAACGCTGATTAGGATGAATGCTAGAGCTGTCAAATCTCTCACCCTGCCAAGGAACATTTTCGGCAATATCCGCGCGTCGTCCGATGTTGGATTTGAATACAAAAATGATGCGAGCGGCTGCAGGGACCCGTGTAGCGGTATTACAATGCCATGTAGTACATGTAGTCCACTTTCACTGTCCTCCAGGACCAGCTCCAGTGCAAGCACCTTCCGGTAGTACCTGCTGTCTGATCTTGCACAGAGCTGAGCTGCGAGACAAATCGGTAGCTTTTGTTTCCCCGTCTGCACTGAGTCTGAGGCCAATGAACGAGGGCTGAAAAACTCTTGCCGATGAGGCACTCTTTTTCAGTTTCCTGGCGAGGACGTAGGCACTGACTCAGCCAGGCGGAGGAGACTAGCACTACTAGTAGTAGTACTACTAGTACTACTACTATACTAAGTCCTACACTGACAGTGAAGACCACTCTGGCTTTCTCTGATCTAGCCGCCAGTTGCAATCTTGGCGAATCTTGCTCGATCAAACGAGCCAACGCGCGCGCGGTGGTGATACGTCGTTGGTCGTTACTGGAGTACATGTACTCGGAGTAGGGCTGTTTTTGTCACATACATGACACTGGAAGCAATGCCCACTCCATGCATTCATGGTATCGCTCCGGCACTGGCTCACACTGCTAGTACTACTACTAGTACTAGTAGTAGTACCGTACTGGCAATATAATTATGTTGCCGCAGTGAGGCCATGAAGCGTTACATAAGTCATTGGCACATGTTTGCCGCACGCAGGGCGTTACATGCAAAGTCGCACAGGAGCCGTTAGGCCTCGGTCACACTACGGCAAAAATGCTGCGTCAGCGTCAGAATCATGAGCTTTTCCATGGCAACTGACGCAACGCGGGAAGTTTGAGCGTCAGACGCTGCTGCGTCTGACGTGGGGAAATCGGCTGCGTTGCCGCTGGTGGGAGTGACGCTTGGCGGAAAAACAGTGTCTTTCAAGTAAAATTAGTTTCAAGACATTTGTCTTTGCTTGAGTTGAGCAGTTATTCGACATTCGTCTGTTCAAGGTTTGTTTTGTTCCCTCTTTTTGTTCGAGATGAGTCCGTGGACCTACGAGGCCGAGGCTGCTCTGCTCCGAACCTGGCGGAAGAGCGAGGCGTTTTCTGAGAAGAAAATGATGTCGAGAAAGGACCAGTTGTTTGAGTGGGTCATCGGCCAACTGGAGCCTGTTGACTTGTGAGTGTAGTGTTGTCGTCAAGAGCCCCAAAAAGGAACACCAGTATGACGAAGTCAGGAGAAACACAGCTGCGATGCGGACTTTTCTTGCCTGATCAATGACACTACAACTGAAAATGGCTTCAAATTCGGAAAGAAACAACAACGATCGTGCACGCGTCGACCTACATGTAGTACCTTTCGTCTTCTTGTAATCAAAAATCAATGAAAAATTCGAAAACTTTGTCCGACAATTTTTTTGTATAATAAGCAAAAGGCCGGTTTCCGTGGGAATCCGTGTCGTCATTGAGTTTTCCTGGTGGTTTTGTGACGTAGACAAATGCGTCAAGCCGCGGCAGTCATGAGCTGCAAAAAAAACAAAACACTGTGTGACCCCACGTCTCCGTCAAGTGCTGCGGCTTGACGCTGCGTCCAGCTTCAAACTGCCGTAGTGTGACCGAGGCCTAAACACAGGTTTCTATATTGCCGCAGTCCTTTTTTTGCTATTGCCGCATCACTTTTTTGCTATTGCCGCATCATTTTTTTGCTTTTGCCGCATCATTTTTTCTTTTCATCCACATTGAAGGTACAGAAATTCAGTTGCTATCCAACTGTTACAAACCAGAGGGCAAAGGGAGACAACGATATCAATAGAAGACTGTATATTTTAACTATCAGAGTGATCTGTTCACAAAAAGATCATCAAAAGGAAAGTGACATAGGGGAAGAGCGCTTCCTCCAAAAACTACTTTTCACCACGCGGTACACGTGCTTTCACAGTTTTCAGCCTTTTTTTTGCAGTGCAAACTGCAATGAAAAGATCGCCGCACCCCGCCGGACGCGCGTTACGAACTCAACGAAAATTTGTCGCACTAGCCTGGTCGCGCGTTACGCCGCACCCCCCTGCGTTACGCGTTACGCGGCAACATAATTATATTGCCAGTACGGTAGTACAGTATAGTACACTGAGTACTAGTATGTCGTCGACCTCGCCAGTCATGGAAGTCTACTTCGCCTTCGGATGGAATGCATTTTGGTTGAAGAGACGACATGCTGAGTGACGGGTTTGGGAATATCGAATGGGACCGTTGGGACGTACCTGCATTCCGCAAATAATAATCATTGTCTGACTGATTGAGTCCTTGAAATGCCAGTGGCAGTGGGGTCTGTTTGCGTACTGACTTCTAATTTTCGGTATTTTGCAGTGTTTTCCGTACTGTCTGTCATGTCGCGTGTATACATGTAGGACTGTAGTGTAGGATTTAGTACATGATTGTAATCGTGTACCATGTACATGATTGTATGTTGGGTTTTTTTGACACTCGTTACGACGTGGTTACGTTACATACACGTCATTGTACTGGCGCATATACACCCTGTACTGCACTGGCACTCGCTTTGCACAGGGACCGTGACAGGGATACTTGCCATTCTTCTACTCGTACTACTACTAGTAGTACCGTTTTTTTTTTTCGTGTCATCAGACATGCTGAGCCTCTTGTACGGGCAAAATAACACATTTTGTGAAGAATCAACACATAAAACGAATCATCAGATACAGTATTTACAGAGTCTGTCACTCAGTAGGATCACTGCACTGTGCAGGTTCACTGGATGCGTGCCTCCGCCGCCACTAGCACAGCAGGGGACTCAGGCATGGCAGGAGCAAACATGCTCCTTGAGCCACGCAGGCACATAGCACCACAACGCACCAGGGCAAACCCAAGGCGGCAGCGCAGCAAGGAGATAACCTGCCCGTATGGCTCCTTACTCTTCTCAGCCAGGAGAGAGGCGATCCGCGTGAAAAGAGCATTGGCATGCTTGCCATAGCCACCAGAGGCAGAGAGCACAACGGGCACGAAGGAGGCATGCTCAACTTCACGTACTCGCTCCTCGTACTTCCGGCGCTTTTCCTGTTCATGGCGTCTGTAGCTAGCAGCGAGGGAGGTGGCACGATTCGAAGACGCAAAAGGGTTGAACACCCGTACATCAATAAAGATGCGCTCGAATCGGCCACCCCACACACCACTAGCCGCAACGTCCAGCCGAGCTTGCTCCTCCGTGACAGCTGTGCGATGGCGGAAGGCCTCTCCGGTGACGGGCTGGAGGTGGGGTTCCACTGTCACGTTGTGAGCGACCTGCCTTAGAGCTCTGGCGGTGATGTCCCTCACCTCGTTGTGTCGCAGCGTCGGGAAGCCACCAAACGGGCACGACAGGGCGTGACTCACATTCAGCGGCTTACTGCACACGCAGAGGCTTGGGAGCCGAGGAGGTGTCCAGCCGTACCGGAGGCACAGGCCATCCCGGAAATCTCCCTTGCTGAGTGTGAAACCATGGCGGCTGAGGGGGCGGCAGGTCAGCCAGCTGGATGCACCCTTTTCTGAGGCCAGGTCGAGAACAGGGGCCAGCTCCCGGTGATCCGAGCGAAGAGCGTCAGCCATAGACTTGAACGCGCTCCGCTTCTCGGCCCGAACCGTCGCCTTGACCGTCCGGAGCTGAGTCAGAGAGTCGCCAAGAGACGACTCCTGCTCCAGCAGGCGAGACACGAGGCTAGCCGTGATCCTTCGGGATGAGGTGTACTGTTCAGCCACTGAACAAGGGTCTGCCATACCCAGTCCCCCAAGCCGGCAAGGCAGAGAGAGTAGGGAGCGAACAGTTGTCCCAGGTGGAGCCTGACCCGTGATGGCCGGGATGAGCCGACCGCTGATTGCGTGTTCCAGCGGTTCAAGCAGGGACGGCGGGATGGAGGAGGTCCGGCAGAGGAAGGACCACTTGTTTTGCAGGCCCTGTGTGAAGGCGGAGTAGGCGGCCTGTGGCTGCGATGCAGCGATGGTCGTGAGCTGCGCAACTTCCTCACACCAGGTGGCGACCTTGGACTGGACAAATTGTTCCATAAACTCATCCGTGCCCAAAGGTGCACCAAGGTGGCGGCAACCATCACGCGTGACCTGCACACCGGTCCCCTCGAACATCTCGATAGCAGCTGCGTACCTGGAGGGCTTGACCAGGAGGAGTGACTTCTGGGCATTGCAGTGGTAGCCATACCCAGGACCGTGGCTGACGAGATTGTCCCACCATTGGCGAACAGGCGTTAGCTTGCCACCGGCTGCAGCATCGTCCGCATACCAGCCCTGTTTCGCACCAGGCACTGCAACTTTCTTGATGAGCGGGAGGACTCCAAGCGCATATACGGGCATGGCCAGAGGGTCACCCTGAGTGGTACCCTCGCACGATAGCAAGCACTCTCCATCAACGAATAGGCGGGATGGTTGGCGGTAGGTGTTGATTACAGCTGGCGCTATAGAGGGACAGAGGTGACGGATGTTCCGTAGGCAGGCTTCACGGTTAAGCCGGTTGAAGGCGTTCGAAGCGTCGGCGAGCAATATGGCATCCGCATCCTCCTCACGGTAGACATCTTGCATCGCATGGATGGCAGCTTCAATGCCGCACTCCTGACCGGCACACAGTTGAAGGGTGCCCGCTGCATCTTGGATATCTCTCCCGGTGACAGTAAGGATGGCTTTGCCGACAATGCGCCTGGCCACTTCGCCGATACCAATGGGTCGAACACCCGGCGACTTGTCAAGGGCTATTAATCTGCATGCGACGAGCGCCTCCAGTGTCGCTGGGTTGACGTATGTGGTAGCAATGCGACGGGCGCATGTTGCAAGCGAGTCACACAGCTCATCCGACGCTTCGGAGAACGCGGTGCACATGCGCCGCCATCCATCAGCGTCCATGCCCGATGGCCCAGCCGCGCCGTGGGTGTGCAGGGCGGCCCGGCGGATGACGTCACGGGTCAGGCTTGAGAACATCACACTGTGCGGCTGAACAGGTGGCTCACCCGTGAACAGAGACTCTGCATCAGCCGGCTCCCCTGCCGGATGTTTGCTGATAAGAAGGTCACGGGTGGTATCAGTGCCGACAGTGGTGTCCAGGCTGAGAACTCCTTTGCAGCCACCACTTGATAGCTGACGGAGGGCGGATGGTAGTTTGCCGGAGGACACATTAGCGGCGAACGCCCTTGCCAGGTCAGGGGGGGGGTCGATCGGGCGGCTGGCTGGTGCCTGTCCTGGACCTGCTTCTGGATGGTGGTTGACTCGCGGAGCAGTTCCGGCAGGCTTGCTGTTCGCCAAAGTTCTAGACGTCTCCTTAGGTGTTCCTGTGGAGACGGCTTGGTATGGTTGCCCTGCGGGTT